TGTGATTTCCAGCTATCACATGAATTACTCGAAGTAATCACATAAGAAGATGTAGATTTCCTATTATCTCTATCTCCAGCATAATTAGCATCAGTACAGCCTTTCATTTTTATTCCTTCAGAACTAAACTTATACATTAAACTAGCATTGCATGTTCCTTTCAAATATTTAAACAACCATTTTAAAGCTTCTCAATGTTTGGGACCAGGGTTGAACATATACCTGTTAAGTGTACTAACAGTAAAGGCTAAGTCAGGTCTAGTACACACCATCTGATACATCACAGAACCAATTGCATTTGAATATGGAATCCTTTTCATATATTCCCCTTCCTCTTCATTTGCAGGTGATTGTTCTTTAGATAATACAAATTGATTGCCCAAAGGCAATGTAACAGATTTGCATTCATCCATGCCAAACTTTTTTAGAATTTTCATAATGTATGGAGTCTGATGCAAAAATAACAATGAATTTGACCTATAACTTTGAATTTCCATGCCTAAAATTCTTTTGGCATTACCTAGGTCTTTCATATCAAATTCATTATTCAAAGTGGTTTTCATATAATTTAACAATTTCCAGTTGAGACCAATCAAAAGCATATCATCCACGTATAGCAACAAAAACACACAGTCATTATTATTAGCATCACCTTGATAGTATAAGCAATGATCAAATTCACTCCTTTTAAAACAAATTGTTTGAACAAACGAATCAAAACGTTTGTATCATTGTCTATGAGATTGTTTTAGGTCATACAAAGAACGTTTAAGAAAACATACATGATTAGGTTTTTGTTTATTCTCAAAACCCTTAGGTTAATCCATAAAAATCTTTTCATCAATTTCACCATACAGAAATGTAGTTTTAACATCAATTTGTTCAAGTTCCCAATTAAAATGTGCAACTAATGCAAGCATAGTCCTAATAGTGGTATATTTAACAATTGGAGAACAGATTTCATTATAATCTATTTCTTTCCTTTGTGTGTAACATTTGGCCACAATTCTAGCCTTAAACCTTAAAGCCTCTCCTTTCGTGATTCCCTCCTTAATTTTAAAAACCCATTTACACCAAAAAATAGACTTGTCTTTTGGTCTTGGGACTAACTCCTATGTTTGATTTTTATCAAGGGAATTTATTTCTTCTTTCATCGCTTTTACCCAATTCTCAGATTGTTCACTTCTCAAGGCTTCTTCATACTTGTTTGGTTCCCGATCAACTAGTTCTTCATAACTAGCATAAGCAAGTTCAGAATCAGACTCTAACCTTTGAGGCATCATATATATTCTCCTAACCCCGTCTCTAGCTAACTGGTAATCAGACAGAAGATTTTGCTCTTCTTCATATTCATCTGTAACCTCATCTCTCTCAACATTTTCATTCTGACTATCTTCTAATTCGAGATTTTGATGCTCTACCTCAATTGAGGTGGTCGAGGTTTGAACACTTAAATCTACTCGGGATTCATCACTAGTGTTTTCTTGCTGTTTTTCTCTCAAAATGTCATTCTCTGATTTTAGACATGACATATCAGACTCATTAAATGTAACATCACGACTTACAATGATCTTAACTCTAGGTCGAATTCTATCCCAAAACCTATACCCTTTAACTCCCTCGAGGCATCCTAAGAAAACACATTTCCTAGTTCTAGGTTGTAGTTTTCCCTCATTTTGATGAGAGAAAGCAGCACATCCAAAAGTTTTTAACAAAGTATAGTCAGCACATTTAGCATACCATTTTTCATGCAGAGTATCACCATTTAACGCAGTAGAAGGTGTCATATTAATCAGATAACACGCAGTTATAATAATTTCACCCCAAAAAGATTTAGGAACACTAGAACTCAACATCATACATCTCACTTTGTCAAGTAAAGTATGATTCATACGTTCAGCCACCCCATTTTGTTGAGGTGTGTAAGGAACAGTTCTATGTCTAGTAATTCCACATTTTTCACACATATTATCAAAATCTTTATTACATAATTCTAGGCCATTATCAATTCTTAGATATTTTATCCTTTTGCCAGTTTGAGTTTCAACTTGCAATTTCCATGTGTTAAAAAATTTAAAGGTTTCAATTTTATCCTTTAACAGATAAACTCACACTCTACGTGAATAATCATCAATTATGAACATGAAATATCTATTACCACCCATTGTAAGGTTAGTAGCAGGCCCCTATAAATCAGTATGAATATATTCCAAAACTTGAGTAGTTTTGTGCACGCCAGATGAGAAAGATAACTTATGATGTTTACCAAGCACACAGTGATCACAAAAAGGCATATTAGACACACAGTCTTCTCCAAATACACCTTTATCATTTAGTAGTTTAAGTCCTTTAATACTTATGTGAGCTAATCTATTGTGCCACTTGTGTGTGTCATCCGTGTTGGTCAAATTTATAGAGAAAGATGCACTTTTAATAATCTCAGCATTAGTCACATAAATACCGTTTCTTTTAATACCTTTAAATGTGACAAGAGCACCTTTAATCATTTTTAGCATGTTGTTTCCAATTTCACCGGTAAAACTATCGGTTTCTAATTCTCCCACTGAATAAGATTCCTAGCCATTTCAGGAATATATCTAACGCCATGTAATTTAAGCACAAACCAGTGTCAAATTTTAACGTGATATCACCAATTCCAACAATTTTATATGCATCATTATTGCATAAAATAGCATGACCACTTTCAGACTCTTGTAAATTTTCAAACCAAGCTTTATGTGATGAAACATGGAATGATGCTCTAGAATCAAGTATTCAT